AGTAGTGTGTGTGTGTGTGTGTGTGTGTGTGTGTGTGTGTGTGTGAAGGTCTATGTTTTATTGAAGAAGAGCTCTGTGTAACTTGAAAGCTTGTCTCTTTCACCAACAGAAGTTGGTCCAGTAAAAGATATTACCTCACCCACCTTGCCTCTCTAATATCCTGGAACAGACACGGCTATAACAACACTACAAATAAACATTACCGGATATGGCAAAAAGAGTGTGAGCCATTTTCCTATTAGTGATTCAGATGATTTGCTGGATGCTATAATGTTTTGCTTCCTTAGACAAGCACTAACAGAACACTGTGTGCTTGGTTTATTACACAAACAGTTTCATAGGCAAATACAAATGTTACATGCACATCTTGTGTGGCGTATTGAAGTGGATGGTTTGACATGATTAACATGAAAATGGGGCTGTTCAATCAGACTTCAAACCATCCCCCTAACCCCCATGTCCATGGCTGTGTGAGAAAAGAAGAAAATAGAAATGGGAGAAGTGGATAAAGGAGTGAAATTAGTAGCATTGTCTCAACTAGTAAGGGCTAGATTGTCACTTGGCCTAACATGGCCATACAGCCCCCTCTCCCGGTGCTGCTGGATTAAGGTTATCCAGATCACAGCACTGGGTTCCATGTGCAAGAAAGGGACTGTGCTGTTGCTCCGTCTCAGTAAGTGTGGAAATGGAGGGGAAAGTAGGGAGGGACCTGGGTAGAGCCATGACTCTTCCCCCTCAAAGTGCCAATCAACAGAACTTCACAGTTTTCCAGGCTGGAATAAATTATTTCCCCCCTGTAGCAAGTGGGGAGCAGGAGAAGAACCATGATTCTCCAACCATAGTTCGTCCCCAGTGCTGCTGGGGCAGCACCGCAATGTGACAACAGTTACAGGCCATACACTTTTTGTTTAGGAGGAGGATTATTAACCAGTGGGCTCGTTCATATTCAATCGCTCCGGTTTTGTAACTATGGTGGGAAATGTGCCCAGTAGTATTAATGGCAAAACAAATACAAAATCATGTGTAGGAGGCAGATTGTAAATTATAACAATATTTCTGATTCCAAATCCAAGCCAAAAATATTGCTGTTGATTGCAATAATTTGCCTGTACAACTATATTTTAATAGATATCAAAGGGGATGTTTCATTCCAGGGGTTGCTTTCAAATATTATTATGTTGTAATTAACCATCTGCATTCTTCAATGCATATAGTACATTCTGAGCTACAGAATAGCACCTGGTAGCTATCATTTGATGCCATTCAGAGAAACAAGGAAACCATCTAAGTCCAAGGAGAATAACACTGCCCAGCTCAAAATTGGATACAAGATATTAAAAAAAAAAAAAATAAGCACCAGGTTGGATTAGAATGGCATTAGTACAAAATGGATGGTGCCTCAAGGTGAACTTCAAAAAATATTTGACTGTATTTCAAAACACATTTTGTCCTACTACCCTTGAACCCTAAAGTCTGTGCTTTTAGTTTGATTTATTTCATTAGCTGTCGATTTTCTGCCCCTTCCTTTGAGAATCATTCATCTCTGAGAACTTGGAACCAGATTCTGAAACCCTGACTCACACAGAGTAGTGCATTCAATGGGACTGTCACTAGTCACAAAGTAAGGCAGTACTCAACGTGAATAAGGGAATCAGAATTTAGCCCCTTATCCCCTTCCTGAGCTTGAGTAGTATCTCATTTTGTGAGTAGCCCCATTGATTTAAATGGGACTACAGTGGAATAAGTGCTGAGTCCAGCAATGAGCTTGTTTTACAGCACAATTATTAGTAGCCAACAGACTTCTAAAATCTGTCTAGTGATACGTTGGCGAAGCAAGTACAGAATCATTAGAAAACTGTTCAACTCTCATAAATGAACATGTTTGCATAACGTGTAAGTTTCCTACTGCACAGTGTTACCAAAAACTTGAGCAGAGAGAGTTGGAGAGAGATGTAGATCATGTTTTAAAGCTCTTGTGGCAGAGAAGCACATAATGTAGGATCTTACCTTCACAGGAGCTGCAAGTAGGGTGGCATCTTTCACAGGTGTTTGTATCACGATCCTCATAATAATATTCAGGGCAAGAGGGGAGACATTCATTCTTGGAGTGAAGCAGGAAGAAATATGTATCACAGGACAGACAGTCTGTGGGCTGAGGTCCCAAACACTCTTTACAGCTCTTGTGGCATCTCTCGCACAATCCGATGGAATTGTTTGCATAATATCTAAAAGAAGTTTTAGAAGAGGTGAAGATATGAAAATGTTTACATGGTCAGAAAAGATCCATTCCTCTCAGCTATTGCAAAGATTTCATTCTTGATTACTCTTTTCTTTGCAAAACCGCAGTCTTAATGGATGTAGGGTGTTCCCTTTAATGCACGTTTGGCATTTGGCCTCTGAGTTTAGCGAAAGAGCAGCACTTTCTAAAACAGTGGGGCAAATTCAGTCATGAAGTAAGCAGATGCGCCTGTGGACTAGGACTCAGGAGATCTCGCTCCAGCATATTTCCTTGCTGGGGAAATCCTAAATTGTCCCTAGAGAGCACCCTTAGTATAGAGAAATAACATGAGAAACTTTCATCGAAAAAAAAGCAGAATTGAAGGCTACATGTTTAGCAAAGCTCTCTGTCCAATGTAGGTTTTAGCTATCCATCCTGGAGCCTTACCCAACTGTGCAGACTTGTACGCATCCCTTTCCTTGTTTGTACCAGCCCGATCTGCAGGTATGGCACTGCGTGTTGTGTTTTCCATAGCAAGTCTCACAGGTGCTGTGGCATGTGAAACATCGTCCCTCATCTCTGTCAACATAATATCCATCAGGACACACTTCTACACAGGTTGTATCTGCAGAGGGAATAATGCAGAACCAAGGATCACATACAATATTCTCTTCTCCCCATTGAGGCTAGATGACATATTCCATCTCAGATTCTATAGCAGAGCCAGAAAGGGAGTGCCCTGCTGTACTAATTATTTTTATGCCTTTTAACTCTTATCCCTTCATTTGTCTGTCTCCATTTTCTCTGCCTAATGTAGACTGTAAACTCTTCAGGGCAAGGACTGCGTCTTTTTTTAATTCCTGAAAGATATCAAGAGATTATCATATATAATAATAATTAATAACCATCAGCATTTGCGATTTATATCAGAATATACAAAGGAAACAATAATCTTCAGGAAATTTTATCCCTCCATCTGCAGCACCATTTATCTCTTGGTTTTTCTGCTTTTGATTCTAAATACCTAGCTCACAGTTTTGATGCATATTTGGTCACATCTATAGGATTTATGAGAATTTTGAGCCTTTATAGCTCAAAGGCTTTAATCCCAGTGAATAATTGAGCAGCTTGGCTGCTGCTTTGTGTGATGGGAGAACACACTTACAGTCCTGCCAAACGTATCATGAATATCACAATGTTTCATTGAGATTTCAGAGGGAAATCAACAGAACCTAATTCTGCAATGTAATGTTAGCACTAAGACAGTTAACCATATGGGCTTCAACCTACCCAATGTTAATTAGGGTGAAGGAGAACAATGACTACTAACAAAGTGAAATAATCTTTCTTGTGTTGTGTGTTTCAATACTCAGGTTACAGATAGGCAAGAGAAGATTTTTTTCCTTACTAATATTATTTCTTCGATATTTTGTTTGCCACTTTCTGGACTACAGGTTGCCTGTCTAGCTATCTCAATCTAAGGGAGAAACAGTAATGAGCAAAATGATATTGTTCATTAGTAGTGGAAAGGGGCCTGAACCAAACCCTCAAATCTGTACCCTCACAAACTTGCAGGTTCAAAATCTGGATCAACATCTGAACTTTCCAAAGATCAAAGAATTGTGATTCAGTGTTCAAATTTGGTCCAGAGCTGGGAACTCTGATTCAAGCCTGGATCTAGGATTGGGATCACAGGCTTTAGCTAATGCCCAACTCTATTACATCTCTATCATATTCTCACACTATGATGACTACATGCAAGAAGAAATGTGTGATTAAAATGGTATTTCTCTGCAAAATTATTTATTTTTGCCTTAAGACAAATTCACTAAATAAATAAATAAATATCAGGATTTGATCTTACAATAACGTTTCTTTAGTTTTGATACAGAAGCTCGCTTCTCTGGAGGAAATTTGGCCTTTGATTAACTTTGTAAATGTTCATTTTTGTTTGTTTTTTATGTGCACCTATTCACTAAATACTAAATCCTGATGGACTTTCAATATTCACCCAGTCCTTACTTACTCAGGCAAACCAGTCTTCTGTTCTTTACTTCAAACATTGGTTTGCTTGAAATGCAGTCAAACAGAGAATTGATCTGGGGACAATTTTTCAGCAAGTCTCCTTAACGATGTCTGTATATTTGTGAGTATATCTATATTTCACACTCAGAACCTGCCAAGGCATTTGAATAAATCCACATTTGCAAATATACATGAGTTTTATGTGCGCAAAATAGTTTGAATTTGCAAAATATGCAAGCAGGGCTAAAAGAACCCAGATGGTTCTTAATGTGATTTTCAAGTCACCAACTTGTAATCAAAGCTGTAGGAACAGACAGTTGAAAGCAAGCAGAGAGTAGGTAACAGAAAAGTTTTAGTTCTTTGTTAGCCGTAAAGTGTCATGATGGTTAGAAGTTCTGCTTTGGCCCTCAAAGTTTGTCAGGCCCAAACCTAAATATCTGCCCAAACTCCAGGGCTGGTCTCATATGGCCAAGAGATTTTCTTGACTAGCTCCAAAGAATCAACTGGCATGTTTGCATTGTGGCACAAACACCTGAAAGCTATCTGTCATACCGGACTTGCAATGATCAGATTGGCTTCAGCCTGTTGAAATATGGATCCCATGACCAACCATCTTGACATTTCATGAAAAGGAGCAATAGAAGTGCAGCTTGAAGCACCATGATTAATGGGGATCTGCATATGTCACATATCTTCAAAGGAGAAGACAAAATAAAACCTGGCTGCAGAAGCATCATACTTACTGAGAAGATGCCGATTTTTTGGACAGCTAAGACACTGATGTTCAGCAGACCCTGTACAGCGAGAACACCTCTTGTGACAAGGCTTACAGGTCTGAGTTTGCTCATCGTGGTACTCAGTGAGAGAACAATACTTGGATGTCACACAGTGACCCTGGCTGTTCATCACCATGCCCTCTTTACAGGTAAGGCAGGCAGTGGAAGAGGAGCAAATCTGACATGTCCTGTCACACTCTGAAATGTACAAACAGCAAGTATTTCACCACTGTTTTTTTTAATTTCAGATTCTTTTTAAGTAGTTTTAATTTGTCAAGTAGCGAACATACACCCAGGGGCATATTTTCATTTGGGGAACTGGGGAAAGGTTTGTGTGTTTGTTTAAATATTATTTCCTATCCCATTCTTTCTATAGCCTAACAGTTTGCGTTCTTTATTGACTGCCACTGCATACTGAGCAGTGGTTTTCCCTGAACCATCTCCAGCGATGCTTGGTCTTTTTCCTGGATGGTGACATATAATTTAGAAACCAGTAATGTGTATGAGTAGTTCTAATTATTACTTCCCATGTGCATTTCCTTGCACTTGTCAATAAATTTCATTTCCAACTATGTTGCCCATTCACCTAACTTCTGGCTTTCTCACAGTCTTCTCTTGTTTGACTAGACTAAGTAATGTTGTGGCATTGGCACATTTTGCCGCCTTGCTGTTCTCCTCTTTTTCAGGATCAATGGTAAATGTATTAAACAACACCCCCAAATCACTTTTAATACTATTCAACCGGTTCTACTTAAGACTGTTTCCATATTTTTGGGAAAAAAATAATACCTTGACAATCTTCTGTCTCTGTTTCATAGTAAGTTCCTTCTGGGCATTCTCCAAAGCACTCGCCATTGTGCAAAACAAAGGACCTGCTGGCACACTCATTACAGTCATCCGAGTCAGGCCCATCACATTCTTTGCAGTCCTCATGGCAAGGAGAGCAACTCCTGGAGTCTGCATAAAAGCCAGAAGGGCAATCCGGCAGACACTTCCCATTGTGCAAGAAAAACTGGTCCATGCATACTAAGGAAAAAGAAAAGCAGCTGGCTAAGCAAAAGAACAGCTTATTTTCTTCTACTGATAAAACCAACAAAAACTGAATATAGCACCTGCTGCATTACATCTAGGGATGGACAAACTAGTTCAGAAAAATAATAAAAAACAAAAATTGTCCTAGAGCCTTTACTAAAATTCAGGTTATACCTAGATTGAGCCTCTGCATGGAGATGGGCCTATGATGCAAAGTTACCTCTGAATTTAATTCCAAACTTCTCAAAAGTTCAGGGATATTTGGATCTGAACTTTTGTTCAGCTCATTACTGAAATAGGGTCTGTCTGGAATATTTGCATCCAGATCTGAATTTCCCCAGAGGCTGGATGTGTTAGGATATGGAGTTATGGGCTGATCTGATCTCTACCTTTGGGTTTATTTTAACCTTGTAGTTTAACCATTTTTTCATTACCTTTCACTGTCACCCACTTTTACACTTCCAGGTTGACAGATAGTTGCTCAGTTTTACCTGCCCTTGAAATTCACACAACCATTCAAACTTTGGGGTGAGCAGCCCAACTAAACAGAATCCCCAAAACTTTTGTGGTTCACTCATCATTAATTGCATGAACACTCAGTGGGCTTGATTCTCCACTACTCTGTATCTTGTGTAGCCATTTGCACCTGTGTAATGTCAGTGTAAAATGCTACTAGTTTAGAATGGTAGCATTTTGCATCCACCTTGTACAAATGTAAATGACTAACTGAGTTGCCAGGCAGTGGAAAGCCAGGACCTGAGGAATATCTTGAAACACAAAAAAAGAACAGAAAAAGGAATACTGAACATATGTCATTCCTAGCTCTATCTGGTTAAAAATCCTATCACGTGATACAGTGCTCATTAGCACTGAGTAGCTTAACAATTAAAGTTACTTTTCTCATTTTTGTTAACTACAGAAGAACTATCTCTTTCAACAAATATTTGCCAGTCTGTATATTTTCAGCGAGGTCTTATCTTAGCCAAGTGGATACATGCCATGCTGATTCCCTGCAGTACCTTTGCATGCACTTTCATGAATGCATTCCTGACACATCTCAGGGCAGTGTTTACAGATTCCATTGGTGGCAAAGTGCTTCTCAGAACAGGAGCTTTTACATTCCCATTGCTCCAGAAGCAAAGGACTTTCACAGGACTGACATTTTGTGGCATTTCCTTCACACGTCTTGCAGGATCCACTACACTTGATGCAGGTACCAGTTTCAGCAAAATACCCCCTAGAGAGTCAGGACAAACAGAACAAATGGTAGGACAGAGCACATTTCTGGCACAGTTTGATGGCACAGTTTATTGCAAATATAGAGGAATAAAAATGTATTGGGTGAACCAGGAGCTTCATAATGGACAGATTTCACAAAGAACTGCTATGTGCCATACATCTCATACAAGATATTTTGCTCACTGCACCACATCATCCCTTAGCAGCACCAAAATCACCAGCATCCAGAAGGCTGCATGGTATTAGCAAAGTTTCCCATGAATTCTTTCCTTCTGCCTACCAGGGTGTCACTGTGATACTCACTCTTCGTGTCCCCCTTCTGCTTCCCAGGCTGGAGAAGCACAGAATATGGAAGGAAGAAGCCACTGCCTGCAGCAGGGCTGCCCAGAGGATTCAGGGGGCCTGGGGCAAAGCAATTTTGGGGGCCCCTTCCATAAAAAAAAGTTGCAATACTATAGAATACTATATTCTCGTGGGGGCCCCTGCGGGGCCTGGGGCAAATTGCCCCACTTGCCCCCCCACTCTGGGCGGCCCTGGCCTGCAGCAGTGATATCAGTGGTTCAGGAGAAGGAAGAGAGATATCATTCCAATGGTGGTAGGACAAGCAGAAAGAAGATACACCCCTGAGTAGTGGGAGGGATGGGGATCAGGGAAGAGAGAGATCTCACCCCCAGCACCAGGAGGGATGAGCTGTTCCTGCACTAGTAGAAGGCACTACAATGGAAGGTCAACAACTCTGTAGAGGTGCGAGGGGGGAGGGATAGCTCAGTGGTTTGCTAAACCCAGCGTTGTGAGTTCAATCCTTGAGGGGGGCCACTGAGGGATCTGGGACAAAATCAGTACTTGGTCCTACTAGTGAAGGCAGGGAGCTGGATTCCATGACCTTTCAAGGTCCCTTCCAGTTTTAGCAGATAGGATATCTCCACTATTTTATTTTTTTTAGGAAGGAGCTAGAAAAACATGATCACATCCAAAAGAAGTGTCACTCAAGAAGCTATTAAAATTTTGGCGAGTGTATTCTGCTGTCAGGAGTGTGTCACACTGATACCTGTGTTATACAGCCTGTGGGTAAATGGTGAGGAGCCTTTCTGAGAAGCAGCTCTAACTCTCCTCTAATAACCAGATGACAGCACGTCTAATATGGTGATTCCAGCATGGATCTGTGTGATGCAATTTGTGGCTGAACTTCGACATAATCTGATCCTACAAAGAATGTGCCCTGGACTATGAAAGCAGAGCAACTTTAAGCAGACTGACATAGAGCAGCTGTAGGCAACCAGAGTCATTCTAGGTTTGGAAGGATTAATCATAATAAAATATTCGCTAGGCTTGGCCTGTATCTCATAGACGAAAGGAGATGGAAGGGCAGGCTGGAGGCACATTTCATTCTGCTTAAGATCTTGAAAAGAAATATATGGAGAGAGGCCAATAACCTGTTTGAGATAATTACTAATTCAAAACTATGCAGTCATCTTCTAAAACTGAGGAAGGAACAAGTATAGAAAGCAGTGCCAGCAGAATATCTACTTTGCACTAACACATACACCCAGGCAGCCTTCACAAAGAGGGGTGCTTTCCAGTGCTTTACTGGCATTTCAGGGAATGCTTTAAAAGAGCAAGGGGCAGTACTTTCCAAAGAAAGCCAAGGAGGTCAATTAAGAGGAAAGCTGGAAAGAAGGAAACAGAAGAGAAGAGAGTCCACCTCCATCTTTCCTGTTTCTATCTTCTTCCTTTCTTTTCTCTTATCATTTCTCAATATCCTTCCAATCCCTTCTCCCCCCCCTTTCTTCTGTCGTGGGAACTTATCCTCTCAAGCACAACAGCTCACCTTGCTTTGCTGATTCACTCTTTCTAAATGCCTCTGTCACAAGAGAGTAGTGGATCAGTAAGATATCTAGAACACCTTCCCTGCACACTACAGTACTTACTTTGCTTCTAAAAGAAGACATTTAGAACTGCATGAGAGCACCAGTGTTTCTCTGTGATACCTTGCAAATGGGGGTAGGTGATAAATGTAATATAAAATATCCTAGGGGCTGAAACTTGAAACTTAACTCGGGTGACTTTGTTGTAGGAAGGCCAGTATCTGAAACCCTGTTATGAATGGGTCTGGCAAGATACTCTGGAAGACAGCAAAAAGTGCGGGGGATGCAGCAGGTATAGATGAACAAGGTGAATTAAATTGCATGATTCCATGCAAAAAATGTGGGAAATGGGTTCTGGAAACACACACAAGTTAGTGTAATAACGCTACAGCATTATTTTGCAATCAGTGGGTTATAGTTCATTTTTTGCATGGGTAGGCTGAAAGAACCCACTCTGGCCTAGATTCTGATCTCAGTTATATCTTTCATGTGGTTATTCCAGATTCACTCTGGTGTATATGAGATCAGAATCTGTCCCTTTGATGCTCTGATTTACTTAATACAGTTAGCAGATGTGCAAATGGTGGTAGGAAAATACAGCCAATAAATTAGTGTAAATCACAGAGGAAGAGGGTTGGACGTGTTTTCCCAAAAGAAAGAAACTAAGTGGTGGCCACTAAGGACTGGATCCTACACAGCATAGAGCATTATGTATACATGCACTTGGTAACTAGTGATAAGTAGGATATAGAGTGCAGTGGAACCTGATCTGCTTTAGGGTCTGATCAATGCTCATTGGAGTCAATGGGAACCTTTGTTGCTGAATGACTGCCAGGTTACTGATGCATAGTAGGAGAAAAACCAAAGAAGATAGTATATGATTAAGCTCCCCATTTGCATGTTCAGGATTGTGCCCATACCCTGCCTCTTTTTTATCCTGTATTCTTGGGGGTAAGGGAGAGGGTAGAGAAGGTTGTTGAGGGTTACTTTCAGTCAATGTGAAGATCTACACTGAGTGTGAAATCCTGGCCCCATTGATATCAATGGGAGTTTTGCCATTGACTTCAGGATTTCACGCCTAGTGCTTAACTTTACTTACTTACATTCACATGTAGCCTCTGCTAACAAGAGTAAAGTAAATTACTTCATCCAACTGTATACATATACATTGTTTCAGCACATCATAATTTCTGATGGCCAAAATGGTACATTAACATTTCCATAACAGGAGTTTATGATGTCCTATCTAGAAGGACCTAAATTATGGAGACAAGTGGCACAGTTAAAAATTAGTGAGCAAACTTGAAAGTTGGTGTAAATCAACAAAACAAGGGAAAAAATACACAATAACTTACGTGGGGCACTCCTGAAAGCATCTGCCTTCATGTAGGTAGAGCGGCCGCTGTGGGTGAGACTGGCACTTCAGGCAGTGCCTGGGGCCAGAGCAGTTTTCACAGTCATCTGTGCAATTCTCACACTTCCCACTTTTCAGGTCGCCAAAAGTCCCTCGAGGGCATGTACGTACACAGCTCTCAGCAAGAAGAAATCTCCCTAGCAATACACCCACCCCAATGAAATGGCACAGTTGAGAAGGCTTAACAAAATAACTCTGGGATCTTGTTTGTGGTGGCCAAACCTGCAGTAGCGTATTGGTGGGTTTCTTCTTTTAAAAATGGAACCTTAACTTTGCATTTCCTGCAAATCCAAAATTTAGGGTTTTTTCCCATTTTTTTAAAAACTGCAACATTCTTTTAAGCTATTTTCCAAAAAGGTCAGTCTTATGGCCAACTCACTCAGAGATTTTAAGGCCAGAAGGAAGCATGATGATCATCCAGGCTAACATCTTTAATAACATAGAATTTTACCCAATAATTCCTGGATTAAGCCCATAACTTCTGGTTGAGTGGGTGAGGAATCAGATCCCTTGATAAATTTGTCCAATGGCTAATTACCTTTGCTGCTAAAAATAAATGGTTTATTCCTAGTCTGATCGTATCAAGTTTCAGCCTCCAGTCATTGGATCTTGCTGTGCCTTTATCTGCTAGATTAAACAACCCTCTACTATCCATTAACCAAAATATTCCCTGGGAATATATAATATACCGAAGCATCTAGCCAACTACAAACTCTTCCCAAAGAAGCTGAATGTCACTTACCTTCTGGACATGAAGTGCACACCTCGGCAGCTCTATCACAGGTCCAACATGAAGCATCACATTGTTGGAACTGTTTTTTTGAGTCTGGGAAGGAAGAGGGAAAAATACTGCTGTTACCCTGTTTAATCTTAGTAGGGACTGGATCACCAATGGCACTTTTAGGAGGACAAGTAGGCAGGGCACCTTCATTCAGTCTGGGAACTTTCCTATTTGCTTTTTCTACATAGATTCACTCAGAGCTATTTAAAAAAACCTAACTATTTACAGCCATAAAAGTCTCATTATATTCCTTGAAATTAGACAATTGACAGTTTAATTCAATCACATATTCTTGGCTGATCAGTAAAGGATTAGTGTAGAAAAATAAAACACAAAGGGCACCCTCAAATCCAGTTTGGCATTGTTCTAGAGTGTTTATTGCAAGTGCAGAGGCTATTTTAGCTTATTATTGGTAATTTCAGGTTGGTGGTGTGGATGGTCATAGAATTTACACCACAAATAGGTAAACACAGACACATTTTATCTGGGGGAGAGGGCGGAGGGGAGGAATATATGGTTAGGGGACTGCTGCTGAATGAAGAATTTGTATTATGCTTTCATACTACTTGGTTACATTATTTCCCTAACACATTTTCGGAGTTCCTTGGAAGTGAATTAAGAATATGAAGGGGAAGAAGGGAGTGCCTGGAAAGAGATGTATTCACCATGTATCAATAATCTCCCAGTTCTCCCCATCAGGAAGAATCCTTCATGTTCCTCTTATCGAATCTTTTTATCTCCAAATTTACACTTCACACTCTCAGTGGGAAATTTGGGGTAGTGTTTGCATAGACTTTGCTCAGCTGATGTCCAAATTTCCAGGCGCCTGAGGTACATACGTAATGTGCATGGGGTAGCCTGTGAATGCCATAGGTCCCAGCATGCAATTCTTCATTTTGATCCAGGCAAAAAGCTGCTCAAATGAAGGTGTAGCACTGGATTCTGGAACCCCTTCAGGCTAGTCTTCCTTATTAAAGATGAGGGTGGACACTGCTGTGTTTGACCAACCTGTACTTTGGCTACCCCTGTTTTGGATCAATATGCATTTGACCTTTGTGGATGTACATAGTACTCCCTTCCGTGTTGAATATATTGAACAGTTATTAACATACATCCCAGCAGCATTTTACAATTGATAGGTATCACTCTCTTTAATCCATTCCACTCTCTGTAATCCATGACTAGTTCTGGGTGAAGCTTTTCAGACCAATAGTTTATTCACAGAGAAATGAGGTTTCAATTGACCCAAAACTATTCATGAATTTGATACAAATTTGTCAGTTTTGGCCAAAACAATTTTTTGGGGGATTTAGGTGCTGTTCACAAAATGACTGAAGGAGGTGGTGCCTCCCAATAACTGCTATGGTGGTGGTGATGAGAGCAATCAGCTGGAACATAGGAGACCTAGGTTTAATTCCCCCCCTCTACTGGATGTAATATAGGGATTTGAACTGGGGTTATCTACATTGCAGAAGAGCACCTTAGCCCCTGGGGCAGTCTGGCTCTTTCCTGTTGAAGTGGTTCCATTGGGTATAAATAATGATGTAGTCATTGGCGCGAGGGCTCAACCTTGGCTCTCCCACTGCCTCGTGGAGTACTGTAACCAGAAGGCTATAGAGTCAGTCACGCTCATAGCCTCAATGACTAGTCAAGTAGTTTATATAAAGTGGAACAGCTTCAACAGGAGAGAATGAAAAACCTTTATGCTAGGCTCTCATGTAGCACAGGGGTTAGCGAGCTTCTAACTACTATAGATGCCCCCAAGTTCAATTCCCTCTTCCCATGACTAATTCATTATTTAGGCACAGTGGAACACTTTCAACAGGAGAGATTGAGAAAGTCATATAGCTGAGTGACTAGGACACCTTTTTGCAATGGAGGAGATCCAAGTGCAATTCCCGTCTCTAAATCAAGCAGAGAGGGTGATTGATCCCAAGGCCTCTGACATATATTTACCAGACATCTTTGACTTCAGCTGTCAGCAGCTGGAGCTGGGCCTGTGCACCCCTACCCCACGGCTGCAGCCTTCGCTGCGCACCCCTGCCCCGCGGCTGCAGCCTGCTCCGGAGCTGGTGCTGTATGCCCTCCCTGTGACTGTGCTCACTGGAGCTGGGGCTGTGGGTGGCTTGGCCACCTGGGACTTCAGCTGCCGTTCCTCCTCCCCCCAGCCCTACCCACCCTGGTTATTTTTAATAAAGTCAGAGACAGGTCACGGGCTCCTGTGAAAAAAAAATTTTTTTTATTGCCCATGACCTGTCTGAGTTTTACTAAAAGTAACTGTGACAAAATCTTAACCTTAATTATGAGACAAGGAAACAAGGAAGGATGGATCAGTTCTTCTTATATCCTTTATAATCTTAAAGGCTAGATTAAGCCCCTTCTAACTCTTCTTCTTTCCAGTTTTAATAGTCTTAGTTTTTTTTTATCATACCTCTCACCAGCCTCATTGTACTTATCCAGATTTATTCCTTCTTAGCAATAGCAAAGGTATGGTGCCCAAAACAGAGCTCAGGACTACAGGATGTACCATCAGCAAACACTGTATTGTTTTCTATCCCTATCCCTAGCTCTCCTTCCAGGTTGGCAGGGAGAGTGTTAACTATCTCTCTGTGAGTAGAGGAAAGTCCACAGCTGCATGCCTTTAGCGCATGCACTGTCAGAGTAGTAGGGCTGGGCCAGCTGTGATGAATTAAGCCACTCTCCCAACACACTATAAGAGAACTGGACTGTAGGGCACTGAAACTGGACAGTAAGGGGGTAGGTAAAACTTTTGCAGGGCAGGAATAGGGGAATGCTTTTTGATTGCAACTTTAGCTTCATAGAGTTATTCATTTTAGTTAAGTTCATAGAGTCTAGGATTCAGGAAGCCTTACTATATAACCTTGAAGGGCAATGTTTGTTTCTTTGAGCTAGGCTCTAAAAATCTGGGTTTGGCAGTCAGTAGGACTTTAAGATCCTTGGTTATTGATTTTACACTTATAGAGGGATACCTTGGTCCTGTCTCACACCCAAGCAGCTTCTGTTTGTTTTGTGCTACACACTGGGCAGATGTTCCACTGGGCTCTTTATGATGATTTCTTTCCTCTGAGAGGCCTGCAATTTCAGTACCTATTATGATCTATGAAATTCTAACTTTTAACAGTATATACTACTGTACACTTATCATGCTATATGGCATCCACTGTCAGATTGCTGAACACACTTAAAAGCCATCCGGACTCTCTCTCAACTGTCTGGATGTTACTAATCAAAACAACTCAGAGCAATCAGCAAACTTCACTCTAGTTTCCCTAATCATGAAGACTATAGTAGCCTTGACAGACTGCTAAGAACCTCACTACTGATCTCTCTTCATTCTGAGGAGCAGCAATTCACTACAGCTGGTTTTTGATAAGACTTTGCCCCTTCCGTTCATAGTTATTCACTTAATGTTTTATTGTGGACTTGAACAAGCCCTTTGTGGAATACCAAGTAAAATGTGTTTATTGGGCCTTGTTTATTTAGTATTTTTAAAAAAATACTCTGAAAATATTAGGTATCATTTTCTTACATGAATCAATCCTATTAGGTGATATTTTTTCAGGCTTTTTATTCTCCTATCCTTAAATATACTGTATTGTTTTCTCTTACTGAGGGGAGACCCACTGTCTGCAAATCCTGTCATCTGGCTTGGTTCCTTCTTGTTAAAGTAAGCCCCACACTATGATCATCTTGAAGAATTGTTATTCCATAGCCATGTTGTTAACTAAGAATGTTTCTCACTTTATTTACCTCAGAAACCTCACATGAACTGAATACCATCTGTTCCTGGAATCTATTGCATTTCTAAGGTCACTCTATCCTTTCTTAGCACTTTCAATCTTTCTCAAGGCTACAATGATTTCCCACAGAAATTGAGATTTTCTTGTATCAAGATGGAATACAAAATTTTATGTAACTTCTCAGCAGTCACATATGCAGCCCCTTTTCCACTGATGTCTTTTATATTTTATTTCCTTTGAAATCCTCTCTGTAGACAGGGAAAACTGTTCTAAGTGTTGTCATTTAATACCAGTTATGAAGATTAAAAAAGGGAAACAGAAATATAGCTGTAGTAGCCTCTGCCAAGATTATGGGACTCTGATCCTGACTGACACTTCAGGCAACATAAATAATAAACAGTACTTAGATAAGGCTAAGACAGAGACACTTAACAACTGCTGAGAAATGTTTATAGAGAAATTGTCTTGAAAACATTTAACTGTTTACAATTAAGAAATATCAACTTTCATTTACAATGAAATATTTCAGCGATCAAGATTATAGTTTAATGTTTGTTTTTCTTGGCAACATTTGTGATAGTCAGTCTTTGCAATACATTACAGTCTCCACCAGAGGGGAATATGCACAAGCAGTTATGCTTTTGTGATATTTTTCCTGGGAGACACAAGAAATTTTCTATAATCCAGTTACTCTACTTTAGTTTATAACTTTCCAATCTGAAATAAATACTTAAACCCTCAACTGGAGGATTCTCTTCCTAGCACCAATATGAAAAGCTTGCAGTTAATTGGGCCTGTCTGAATTCTGAATTGTCGAGTTCTCCCTGCTTCAAAACTGTCATTTATTTTAATAGTAGCAATTGGACCCTCATTTTGAAAAAACAAAGTAGTCCGGGTGATGCCCTAAATATCCTTCAAAATGAGTAATATACTGAAAAAGATTTTGTGGTACATCCCTGTGCACTGCACCTGCCGTGATGGGACCAATGTTTTTATACATAGAACAGTCTGGAAAAGTTGTCAAGAAAATTTGCCAGCCTAGGGACAAAATGTATTTATTGGCCTGTGCTCTGATGATAATGAGAAACCAGATGGCCAGTTTCTGCCACACAATATTTTACTTGTCACTGACCCATTACTTACTCACTCTGGGCATGTGGGCAAGTAGAATTCTTCCATAAGGAAGCAGTAGAATTAGTTAGTGGAGGAGTTGTATCTCTGAAGTAAAAAGGTTGATGAGACTACAAAAAAGAATTGCCAGCTCTGGCAGTTAGCCTTGCATTC